GGCTATGTAGATGCGTGCGTATACGTAGAAGAAAGGTCGATGAGGGTATAAAGCTTTGGTGTACAAATTAGATGCCATATTGTGAACTACGGATGATAAGGTCTACATGGCAAGTGTGGAAGCTGAGGCATACATATTGTTATTGCACGTGACAATTTCATATTGACGAATTTATAAAAATGTACCCAACGGCCCATTCACAGGGATATCAATTCTACTCGCATCTAATGAGTTTTCCGCATTTCTTTCAATACCTGCACAATTTAGATAATGAGTGTGGATATGGGGGGAATTTTGTATACTTACATGGGTATGGGGCGGTTGCAGGGAGGTATCCCCGCCCAGCACCCGCACTTATATATATTGTTATTAGTATTAATTTACTCCCTCCGTCCCATTTTGTTTGTCTGGTTCAGTTAACGAGGCTTGACTGAAACTATTTTTACTTTAATTTTTCATAATATTAAGTTTATTTTTATTATATAAAATTTATATATTTAGAAACTACATTAAAAGTACTATTAAACATTAAAAAAAAAATCAAATTTAAAAATAATTAAAAATTACTAAAGAAAATAAACAACGAAAAAAGAGTTGAATTGACCAATGAATAGTAAACATGACATGCAAAATGGGACAGAAGGAGTATTATATAAGTTTATGTATATTTTATAATTAAAAATGCATAATAAATTAAACTTCTTTGTTTTTTGTTAATGAAAATTGAATAGGAACAACACAAATAACATAATGAATAACCACTTAATACAATTTATACTACCAACATAATTTTAGTTCCAATTAACGATTAACTTTATTGACTCTTATTAAATTTTAGAGTTATGTTTAAACTTATAAAAAAAAGAATTAATTTCACTTTTGGTCCCACGACTTTTGAGTTCTTATCACTTTTGGTGCACAACTTTAAATTTTTTCAATATTGGTGCCTAACTTTGTTATTTTTATCAGTTTTGGTCCTTCCAGCCAAATTGACGGTAAAATATTTCCGGATTTTATATTTTAGGGGCAAAATCGTCATCACATGGAAAGATCTTCAATATTTAAACAAAAGAAAAATCATATTAAGAGGAAAAGAAGAGTTTTCCAATGGTCGAAACTATAAATCCCATAGATCTGTCTGGTTTCTGCCCATCTTTCCCATTATTCTCATCATCAAACACCTATAGATATGATTTTACGGTGATTTTGTTTAGATACTGAAGATGTTTCCTTGGGATGGCGATTTTACCCCTAACAATATAAAATTCAGCAACATTTAGCTGTCAATTTGGCCGAAAGGACCAAAATTGATAAAAATAACAAAGTTATGCACCAAAATTAAAAAAATTTAAAGTTGTGCACCAAAAGTGATAGAACATCAAAAGTTGTGGGACCAAAAGTGAAATTAATTCTATAAAAAAATCCATGTGATAATTAGAATCGTAGTATAAAATTTTTGTTAGATTTGAGTGTAATACTAATAATTAGAGTTACGGGTTGGGTATTACCTGCGCCCGCAAAATCTCCGCGGGAACAGGTATGAGGTAGGAATTTCATTACCCGCGCAGGTGCGGGGGCGGGGGCGAGGGATATATCTCCCGCACCCACCCCGCCCCATTGCCATCCCTACCCATCCACAACCGTAAATCGGCCGCTTGGCTTATCAGTACTGTACCAAATGGCCCCCGGTAGTTGACCTTCGACAATTGTGAATCGGTCACTGGGCTTCTCAGTACCCCATGCAGATTAACGGTTTCATATGATCCGATGTAAGGTTTAGCTTAATAATTCCAAACATGTCCATTTCATTGATAAATAAAAGAAGGTGTTTAGCCTAACAATTCTAAAACATGTCTCTTTTATTGGGAGATAAAACCTATTGATGTAAACAGTAATACAGTAGAAAACATCTAAAACCTGTCCCTTTCATTGGGAGATAAAACATATTAGTGCAAACAATAATACAATAAGAAACATTTGGATTGATGCATGGATGGTCCGCCGCTCATAACATTAAGCTAAGTCTCATACACCATTTAGAGGGTTGAGTAAAAGTAAAAAACAAAATCACTAATACAAGCAAACAGTTTAGATTCAGGCAACAAGGGAGGTTAAATCCTATATACTTCATATTATATAATCTCACATACACAACTCTGGACTTTTGATTTATAATAATCATTCATCAGGAACTCCTAGACCTATTATGGTCTTCAATTCCTAGCTTGTAGCGTCAAATTTAGCAACCCAATATTTCTTGGATTGAATAGTACTTGAGCTGCGTTTGGGACGATGAATTGAGTCGTCAAATTTAGCTTTAGTTCAATTCGTGTTGATGCTCTCTCCCTTCCCGAGTCTCCCAGACGGACTTGTACCCGTCTTCTTCCTCGTACGTACCTGAAACTAAAGGACTGCAATTGTACGTTTTGCTGCAACAGAAACACCGTACCGAATAGCAGTCAATCGTCCAAGGTGCAGAGTTTAAGTAACAAAAGACCCGTTAACACATTCTGGAAATAGAAAGTATATGAATATTTAAACTGAAACACTCACATCCAGCGCCTTGGAATTGTATATTATGATTGTGGTATCAAAAACAAAATTCACGCAGCCATGCAATGAGCACATAGCGAACTATTCTTTAGCCTTTTACTAAAGAATACTGTGTGCGCATTGTAATTAGTGGCATACGCCAATTTTTAGAGAACGCCTCTAAAAAGAGGACCTCAACAATTCTACTTCCAAATTTTGGTGGGATGGTGATAGGCATAGTTCATTAGGATAATACAGATGTAAAAACGACGTCGTTTTATTAAAAACGCGCGTCTCACTTAAAAAAAAAAAAAAAATCTGTTTCGATTCCCAGCAACAACATTATATTGTGCATAATTTGAACTATATATCCAGAATCTATGAACTAAAATTTCAGAATCTATGAACTAAAATTCCAGAATGAATGAACTAAAATTCCAGAATCGATGAATTAAAATTCCAGAATCTATGAACTAAAATTCCAGAATCTATGAACTAAAATTCCAGAATCTATGAACACATAATGCTGTTGAGGGGAATCGAAACTGAAATTTTTTTTTTAAATAGGATGCACGTTTTTAATAAAACGACGTCGTTTGCACAGCATAACGATCCGTTCATTAGTTGTGCACCGACATGCTATGCGAGGAGAATAGGGCAAAATGCGGTAATATATATACTTTTTTTTTTGAATGTTACTAGCCCTATTACATTGTAGTATCTGTTCATCGGTAATATATATACTTGATTCTATGATAATTGAATATCTTTTTCCATTCTAACTCTTGTTTTAATTTGTTTCTATTATTACGGAGTATTAATTTTATTTAGTTTAGTAAATTTTTCAGAATTATTACTAATTGAAACTTCTTCCGTATTTAAGAGAAAATTTCATTTTTTTCAATTAGATACATGATTATGTAATTTGTATCACATTTGATCATGTTATTTAAATTCTCAGCTTCAGGAAGGAGTATTGTATTTGGTTCTTCCACAATGAACCTATGAACCTCCAGAATGAGTGGTTCGCCTGAAAAATTAAACGATAGGACTAAATGTGATACAAATCACTTAGTCATGTACCTTTTTTGTTTTCTTCTTTACAAGTTAGTCATGTACCTAATTATAAAATTTTTATAGTCAAGAACTAAATGTGATTCATATATAATAATTAGAGATAAAAGTGAAAGTTATTCTTTGAGTCACCTAATTTACATCATCTTAATGGCCCGTTTGGTTCACGGAATAGGCCGGGAATGGCATAGCATTCCCAGTAATAGGCCTATTCCGTTGTTTGGTAACCATTTCTATTACCAGGAATAATATTCCTGGTAATAGCCTATTACCTCAAATAAGGTAATAGCTATTACTAGGGCCCCCCCTGGTATTAGCCTATTACTGAACGCTCAGAATAGATTTTAGAATCTATTTTCTTTTTTACCCCTTTCTTTAACCTAATTTTATTATCCTATATATAAATTTATCATATTTCACCACCGTCGTCGTCGCCGCCACCACCAACACCACCATCGCCGCCCCCACCACTGCCACCGCCACCACCACCACTACCACCGCCACCACCACCATCACCACCATCGCCACCACCACCACCGTCACCCCACCACTGCCACCGCCACCACCACCACTACCACCCCAGCACCACCACTACCACCCCAGCACCACCACTACCACCACCGCCACCACCACCACTGTCGCCCCCACCACCGCCACCACCATTGCCGCCGCCGCCACCACCACCACCGCCACCAGAACCACCACCCAGCACCACCACTGCCACCGCCGCCACCACTACCACCATCACCACCACCGCCAACACCATTGCCGCTGCCGCCACCACCACCACCGCCACCAGAACCACCACCCAGCACCAGCACCGCCACCGCCACCACCACCACCGCCACAACCGTCGCCGCCCCCACCACCACCGCCACAACCGTCATCGTCAACCGTCACCGTCACCACCACTACCGTCGCCCCCACCACTGCCACCGCCACCACCAGCACTACCACCCCAGCACCACCACCACCACCGCCACCACCATCACATATTTTTATAAGGGTATTTATGTCTTTTAAAACATATTTCATTTCTATTCCTTAAATCAACCAAACACTGTAATATAATTCATAAAGTCTATTCCTTCCGCGAACCAAACAATAGAATACAATTCCTATTCTATTCCTTGCCTATTCTATTCCTTATGGAATAGCATTCCTATTACCTCAAAATTCATTCCGTGAACCAAACGTGCAGTAAATGTCTGATCCAGATGTGGGGCTTTTGGAGTTGTGGATTCAAACTTTTGGGAGAAGAAGAATACTGAAGACGTGTGGTTGTCGCAATGAATAGTGGGGGTTTGTACTTTGTATAGTTATACTTGTTTTACTTAACCAGAAAATCATTAGAAGTGGTTTTGTATGTACACTTCCCTGCCGGCGAAGAATATATGGTGAAGCCAGTTGCCACTCCGATTCTTAACCGTTTAACAAATCGTTCATCTATTGCTAACTGGAATTGTAGCATCAGGGAAGCAGTAAACCATGGGCAGAGCCAGAAAGCGCTTCTTGTGTTTCGTGGAATGAAGCAGAATGGCGTTGAACCCAACAACCTCACCTTCCCCTTTGTGGCAAAAGCCTGTGCAAAGCTCTCCAACTTGGAATACTCCCAAGTCATCCATGCCCAGATTTTGAAATCTCCGTGCTATTCAGATATGTTTGTACGAACAGCCATGATTGACATGTATGTGAAATGCGGCAAAGTAGATTTAGCACGTCTTCTGTTTGATAGAATGCCTGAGAGGGACATTGCTACTTGGAATGCCATTATTATCGGTTATGTGCAAATTGGGTTTGTTGATCGAGTTTCGTGTTTGTTTGAGCGGATGGTGTTTGATGGGATTCGGCCAGACTCCGTCACAGTAATGGGATTGACACGGTTGGTTTCCAGTCTGAAGGATATCAGGTTGTTGAGTGCAATTCACTCTTTTGGAATCCGGATTGGATTTGAGTCTGATGTTTCGGTTGCTAATACTTGGGTTGCTGCCTATGCTAAATGTGGTGACTTGGGCTCTTCACACATGGTTTTCAATGGAATCGGATTGAAGTTTGTAACCGTTGTATCTTGGAACGCCATGATTGCAGGCTGTGCATGTGTTGGGAACTCATGTAAAGCTATGCAAACCTACCGACAAATGCTTCGTTGTGGATTCAAACCTGATCTGAGCACCATTCTGAACATGCTCTCATCTTGCACCAGCCCTGAAGCGTTATTTCAAGGAACGTTGATCCACGCCCATTCAATTCAGGTAGGGTGTGATGCAGATGTTTCTGTTCTTAACACCACTATTTCTATGTACTCCAAATGCGGAGATCTATACTCAGCTCGCCTCACCTTCGATAACGTGACAGACAAAACTTGCGTTTCATGGACTGCTCTTATTGGCGGGTATGCTGAGAAAGGTGATTTGGATGAGGCATTAGCTCTGTTCACGAGTATGGAAGCAGCCGGTGAGAAACCTGATATGGTCACTCTGACATATCTCATTTCAGCCTGTGGGCAAGTTGGGGCTCTCGAGATTGGGAGAGAAATGGAGAGTTACGCGACATTGAATGGCTTAAAGAGTAACAACGTAATGGTGTGTAATGCATTACTAGACATGTATGGAAAATGCGGAAACATGACAGATGCTCGAGAGCTGTTTTGCAGCATGGAGGAGAAAACCATTGTGTCCTGGACAACTATGATAGCGGGCTATGCATTGAATGGGAAATCCAGAGAGGCATTGGACAACTTTCAACTGTTGTTGGATTCGGGTATTAAACCAAACCACATTACGTTCCTTGCTGTCCTACAGGCCTGCAATCATGCCGGTTTCCTCAAGGAAGGCTGGGAATTCTTTGATATGATGACTAAAGTGTACAGAATTAATCCCAGCTTGGATCACTACGCCTGCATGGCGGATCTCCTTGGGCGCTGTGGAAGGCTGCAAGAAGCACTGGAGTTCGTTCAAAATATGCCCATGGAGTCTGATTTTGGCATCTGGGGCTCTCTACTCAGTGCTTGCAAGATTCACTGCAGCTTGGAGATTGGGGAATATGCGGCTCAACGCCTCTTTGAAATGGAACCGCAGAGGGCAGCTCCGTATGTAGAGATGGCGAACATATATGCATCAGCAAGGCGGTGGGATGGCGTTGCTGCAACCCGGACCAGAATGAAAAGCAATCAAGTGAGTAAAACCCCAGGACAGAGCCTCATTCATGTGAATGGAAAAGGGTGTACATTCACTGTGGAAGACAGATGCCATCCTCAAGGTCGTGCAATATATGAAACGCTGAATAGTTTAGCCCTTCAGCTCAACAAAGAATTTGATTTGTCATGGTTAGAAGGCTTTCTTTGATCATAAAACAACACACGACCTTTAATAGTAACGGTTTAATCTTGCAATTGGTGCCAACTTACTATTAAAGATTACAATTTCAAACGAACCCGACAAGGAGTATAGAACAATGACGGTGATAAAATTCTAGAAAAGTGTATAGCTTACTGAAATTTTATGCATTATAAGTGATGGGATAGGCATCCACCCATGCAGGCGGTCTGGGCAGAAAGATGGAGCCGGTCAGTCTAATCGCAGGATGCTTGACGAATCCAGACGGGAGGGAGGACGGTTGACTTAGCCAGTCGGGTACCTGGACGAGACCTTTAGACAGGCAGTTAGGTGGCCGGATGGAAGATAGGGCTAGTTTGCTGGGTGGGACTTTTAGGTAGCTAGTCAGGTGGCCGGATGGAAGCCGAGTGGTCAGAAGAGTCGCACTCGGAAGTGTGGATGAGCGGAGGGACGACTGAATGACTCAGTCTGCTGAAGGAGTGATTTGCCGACTCCAAAGAGGACTCGGACAAATGCGGAGGATACGGCGAAGTCTAGAAGAGATTTGAGGAGCGGATCTTGCGGAAAGCAGCGGGAAACATGAAGACTATAAGGATAGAAGATCAATTATATTTAGGAAAGAAGATTAGTTGTATTTATGGCATGTTAGAGTTACCTAATTCAGGTCTCTTAGTTCTTGTATAAATAGGCTTAGAACACATTGAAAATGATTAAGCTTTTACATGCACATAGAAAGCAATAAAAATAATTATATTTCTGGCAATTATTGTCTTAATTTTTCGATTGTGTTGAACTATTGACTCGCCGTTTGACTACTCCAGTGGCCAATAAAACCAACATAAGGTTAATATATAACTTATGTTTTTTCCTGACGGAAAAGAAACAAGGATGGAAAATCTCCATCATTTACATCTGATCGATCTGGTTCCAATTGTTTGAATATCCACAAATGCAGTTATTACTAGATAGGACGTTTGTACTTCCACACATACAATCTATTATTGCTTTTATCATCACAGTATATAGAATAGAATTTAGGTACGCTCCGCATGAGCTTAGCTCACTGGTTCAGTATGCAGCATTTGAAAACTCTGCAGTGATAGTTTCGGGCACCAGCATTTCATCGTGTCTGCTGAGTCATTGAGTCACCATGGTTTACATTCTCTCAAATGCTCTGTTGTCGGATCGAAGTGTGAAGGTCATTGGAGTTTGGGATTCAAACTTTTGGTCGAGGAATTTAGGTATGCCATAACTAACCTAATAAATTTTCTTAATTATTTAATTTCTTTGGTATTCAAACAAAAAAATATGAATGAGTAATTAATAACACGTACTAGAAAATTAAACAAATTCATCAATCTCTAGAGTCTAGACGGAAACTGGAAACAAGATTTGAGGAGCAGCGGTATAGCATTGAATTGCTTCCAAGTTTAAGAATAATATAATTGTTTTCCATTAATTCTGATTAATACCCAAATTAAACTTGATGGATGTATATACAAATACACATAAATTTGTATCGCAAAGTTAAACAATATTATTGGTGTAAATTAGTGATAGGTTTGGTGAGCATGTAGAGATTATGAAGAGACCTATATTTCCTCACCCTTCTGGGCGCCATCACTACCTCATCATCTTCATCCTCATTACGTTCTCTCATCGCCACTTTCTCTGATCTCTTCTTCCTCTTCTTGTTGTCGCCGGCGGTTGATGTTGTGCCGTTTATGCTCTCATCGGCGGCGGCTCCATCGTCCTCTCCGCTGAGCTGCATCAGCTGCTCCGCCGCCATTGCCATGTCAATGTCTGCAACAAATTCTCCTATGCATGACGACATCCAATCTGCCATCTTAGAGAAATCAATAATAATTTCCACTCTGATCGATCTGATGATCTTTTTTTCAATTCTCCCTCACGATAGTAAATTATATTAGTCTGTAAATTGGTTTAGAAAACTTTATAAGTGCATTGGGTTCAGCGTATGGATTTGGTTGAGAAGCTGCGGGGAGGTGGGAAAGAAGGTGGCTGGAAATTCGATCTCAGGTTTATAAATTAATTAATTAATTAATTAATATATTGCATGGAATATAGTAATAGTAATAATAATAATAATAATAAAGAATTGCTAATAATAGGAAATTTTTGGCTTGGGTATAAAAAATTGGTACTGTATAGTATCTAGTTTTGATCAGGCGTTTGTTTTGGATTACGTCATTGACTTGGTGTTGCTTCCAAGTTCCAACGGCTTGGACTTGACGCGGTTTTATTTTATGGTCAATATAATCACTCGTTTCCTTCCCTTTGGTCTCTTCACTTTCTTGTTGCTTCAAACTTCAAAGCCTCAAAGCTGGGTAAAACAAATCAACAATTGACTAGGTATCTTTTTCTTTTAGAGGGTGTGTGGCAAATACCTTATAGCTGTTAGCGGGTTTGATTAACTGATAGTATTAGCTGCTTATAGAAAGATGTTTGGTAAATTAGTTACAGTTAGCTGATAGTTGATTACATGTCAAATGACCTTTAAGAGTATAATTTATTTTCTCAAAAAGTTAATAAAAAAAACTGTTTTGAACAGCTTTTTGAATTTTAATCCTGAATTACATTAGTTTAGTTAACAGTTAATTATTTTGAAAAAAAAAATCACGGATATATATATATATATATATATATATATATGTATGTATGTATGTATGTATGTATGTATGTATGTATGTATGTATGTATATATATGTATGTATATATATATATGTATGTATGTATATATATATGTATGTATATATATATATATATGTATGTATATATATATATATGTATATATATATATATATATATATATATATATATATATATATGTGTGTGTGTGTGTGTGTGTGTTACCCTCCTAGATCTTACCCTAAAAACACAAAAGGAGCTTGATCTTACCCTCCTAGATGCTCAAGAGTAGGAAAGGTGGAATCTTGGAGGCAAACTTTGAAGATCTTGGAAAGTCTAAACTTAACTTGGAGAGAAAGCTAGCTAGGTTTTTAGAGAGGGGAGAGCTTTTTGCTTTGAAAGTGTTAGGATAGAAATGAGAGATGTCTCCTAGGTTAACTTGGAATACAATCATAAAGGAAATATCTTCTTTGCCCTTACTAAGATGAGAAGGTGTAAGGGAACAAGGGAACTATTCACAAAGCTTTAGGTACAACCTCTTGACTTGGGTTGACTAGTCAATTACTAGTCCCCAACTATTGAATTTTCAGGAATTTAAAGAATTAAATTACCAATTGGATTAGGATTAATTACTTAATTAATCCCTTAATAGAATCCGGATTACGGGGTGTCATAATTTCCCAATAAAAAGGATGTCGTCTACATAGACTAGCAGATAAGCACACATATCACCGGATTCAAAAATAAATAAAGAGACGTCCGTTTTTTAGGGACGAACCCACTTTGCACTAAAAAATCGTGCAACCTTTTGAACCATGCCCGAGGGGCCTGTTTTAGGCCATACAAAGACCGTTGTAGCATGCACACATGTTCAGGGTGATTGGGGTCGACATATCTCGGCGATTGCCACATGTAGATCTTTTCATCGACGCACCCGCTGAGAAAGGCGTTATGTATGTTGAGTTCCTGCATAGCCCGTCGGTTTGAGACCGCAAAGGCTAGTAGAAGTCGGATTGTTGTCGGTTTGACCACCGAGCTGTAAGTTTCAAGGTAGTCTATGCCCAGGACTTGGTTAAACGCTTTAGCTACCAGTATTGTGTATAGATAAACTTGAGCCATCGCCGACTCTGAGTGCTTCCACGTCTGTGTATGGTTCTACGTCATTGAGAGCATCGACGTTCGGGGTGGCGTGGGTATTGGCACCAGTGTCCGAAAACCATATGTTAGCAAACGGGGCAGTGCTATGATCTTCCTGATGCTGCTGGAAGAACAGGTGTGCTTGCGGTGGTGGCGCGGCATTGGCTCTCGGTTGCGAGGAAGAGTCGTGATGTCCAGAAACATCAATAAACCGCATGTAACATGTAAGAGTGGTGTGCCCCAGAGCATCACAAATTTGACACCACACTCCGCCTCTTCCACGATGACCCCTTCCTCGTTGCCCTCTGTTATTGCGGCCACGACCTCGACCATTGGAATGCTGCGTGAGCAAGGCAGCCGGCAAAGCATGGGTAACCGGAGTCGCGTCCTCCGAGAAGAGATACTGGTGCGTCGAAAGAAGGTCGACGAATTTTGGGATGGTTAACGGCGCACTCTTCGTGGTGAGGGACCGATATTCCGGTCGAAGGCCTCTAAAGACATGAAGATTCTGCTCATCTAGCTCGATAGGTCGTCCAGCTTGAACGAGTTGTTCCACCAACACTTGGGATTTGCCAAGGTATTCTGCCAGTGACGAATCTCCTTGGCGGAGGCTCTGAAGCTGCGTGAGAAGACTCAGGGATCGCGCACGGGATGTGGAGCCAAGTGCGGTTTCAATCGCCACCAACACGGATCGGGATATCGAGTGTCCAATTGCAAGGTACAAAACCTCTACTGCCAACGACGATATCTGCATGCTTAGGATGGATTGATCTTGTTGGACCCATACGGCGTGGAGAGGATTGGGCATTGGAGTTGCCGTCGACGAAGACGCCACGCTGAACTCCGGCAAACGGGCATTGGTGTCGTCTACGAAGCCATATAGGTTTTGACCGCACAAGAAGGGAACGAGCTGTGCTCTCCAGAACAAATAGTTCGAGGCAGTCAGCTTTATAGACACGTAATGATGTGCCTGTTGAAGCATGTTTGGATTCCAGTGTTCAGATTGCAAAACCGCGGCCACTGACCGGTTAGAGGAGTCGGCAGGATTGTTCTCAGTGGTGGGGGGAGGCAGTTCACTTTGGTTGTCCATAGGATCTTGTAAGGTTGATACCAGAGTGAACTGCCTAATTAGCCATCGAACGTAACGTGAAGGCAGTGGCAGGTTACCAACAAGTAATTAATTAAAAATTTTAAAAAGAAATTTCGCCCGGCGGCTTTCCGTCACTTCCACCGTCACAGCCGCCTTTACTCCGTCAATATAGGTCTCTACCATGCTTCTCTTCTCCAATTTTGGTCTTCACTTGCTATTCTGCACTCATTAGGGTTTGAAAAAAATCCATGATATGTCATGCAGATACACAAATTAATTTTCAAATCTGGTAAAGCTTTGCTGGTTTTGATGCTATTTGTTTTTTTCCACTAGCATCTCTTAGGTTGCGAAAAATGTGGAGGTGTTTGGGCCAGCTTTGCTAGCAAAACGATGGTTCAGCACATCTTTGAGCGGCGATAAAATCATGGCGTCTGTCCTCTTTGAGAGACTTCCAGTTGTGGTTCCTAAGATCAATCTTGTTGTCTATTCCTTTCAGGAGTTTTCGTTTCAATGGCGGCAACAATATAGACAGGAGTATACAGAAAAATTCTTGAAGAAAGCTGATTCCAGATCTATGGCGACTGTTTTGTCTCCATGGATCTGGAAGCGAAAGAGGGGACAACGGCGGAGAGGCTGGGCTTCCTAGCTCCCCTCCTAGCGACAGACGGCATTACGACCAGGAGCAGTGGTGGCGACGGAACTCAGAGAAACACGACGACGAAGCTTTGGGTGTTCTGCAAATCGTCGATTGGCTGGCGTTGCAACGGTGGCCGGTGGGCAGCGACCGCGAGGCGAATGGCGACGGCGGTGGCAATAGGATGTTCGACCTTGGCGGTGGTGCTACTCCTATCTCTGGCTCGGCTCGGAGTGGTAGCGCTAATGGCGTGGTGTTTTGGGTGGAAGAGAAGGCAGAGAGTTCGATGGAGACGGTCGGAGACTTCTTTTTTTTTTTAAGAGAAAATTACACTTTTGGTCCTATGACTATTAGGGTCTTGTTAATTTTAATCCACGACTTTAAAAACTAACAATTTAGTACCTTAACTATGTAATTTTTAACAGATTAGGTTCATCTGACCAAATTGCTGGCAAATTGTCGCCGGAATCCTTTTAATCCATTTTAATTTGTTTAATTTAGGGGAAAATCGGTCATTCTATGTATATATTTTTTCTTTGCACCTGTTGCCCGGAATCTCACTTTCGTTGCGCCGGGGTTATGGCCTTCTCCTTGTCTATCGCTGCGGTCGTCGTAAATCTCAGGTGAGAAGCCACCTCGCCAATTGTATTGTCGATGATAACATATTTGCTTTAGCTTTTATCCTTTTTTTTTTTCAAATTCAAAAGCTTATGAAATATTTAACTTCCTAAAAATCAAGAGCCAAATCTGTGTAATCTATTAAGGCATTATGGATTGTAAAGGGAGATTAGGTGGTCCATTTGGGCAAAAAGATGCTTGCACCGCTGCAGTCCAAGACCCAACACTCTGTTGGCACTGCTTGAATCATTTATGAGATCTTCTTCTGTTGCTTATTTGTCGGTTTTCAAGTAAAGTTGTAATTATGTATCTGCTTATTGTCATTCAGTTTGATTATCTCAAGAGTTTGGAGATTGAGGAGAAGATTAACAAGATTCGGTGGTGCAAGACAGCTAATGGTTCCCTATTTCTTTTGGGGTGCTTTTGCCGAGGGTGCAAAATATGGGCGTTGGATACGAAAAAGGCTATGCATGGAGTGGGGTTACGTAGCAGGGAAAACCGTGCTGGTGGAGTCCGAGTATAGGAAAAACGCTATAGGGCATAGCATTTTAAAAAGACTTACCATTCCAAATACCATACGGTTTGTTTACGTATTATATTATTTTTTTTTTAGAACACACGTATTATATTATTTAATTTAATAGTTATTGTATATTGTGTATAATACGGTTCCCAATAATGTAAAAACCCTATTTTTGACTCCCATATATTCATCTCCTTCCTCTTTCTTCCCCATTTTTTTACCCTCAACGAAATTTTTCTATGGTCCCAGCACAAAACTTTTAAAATAGCAAAAAGTAAGATTTGTGGTCTCAGAGATTTGTGGTCCCAAAAATCGGTTACTAACAGTGGTTGTAGTGGTGGTCGGCGGTGGCTGTTTGGACGGTCCAGCAGTTGGAGGCGA